AAGATGTTGGATAGCCATTTGTCTGAAATGGTATAGGGTTTCTTGCCTAGGCAGGGGGTTGGACTAGAAGACCTCCAAGATCCCTTCCAACTCTGCTATTGTATTGTATTCAATTCTTTGATGCAATTTAGAACATGAGAAAATTATTTTTTCAGAAATTCAGTTATTAAGAAACTTGGATACTTTCAAGAACTGATATGCCTTTTTCCATTGGCTTTTCATATGTTGCCCCTGGTGAATCAAATTCAGGTGTATCCCAGCAGAACAGATAAAAAGCTTTTTTTCCCTAGACATTCAATTACCAAACTTCTGCCTTGCCTTCAGGGTTCAGCAACTGGAAGAGGAAAACTGTGAGCTCAAAACCACTGTCCTACGACTGAAATCACAAACAGAGAAACTGGATGAGGTAACTGAGTTTGCAAATGTTTGCTGTATATCCCCCTTTGTTTTCCTACTAGCCTGTAGTCTCAGCCTAGACAGCTTAAATTTTAATTCTCTGGGTGAACTGGTTTGTACGTCAAGACATAGCATTTCATTGCAGCAATACTGCTGGGATCAGGCAGTGGAAGGCAAAACATATACAATAAAGTATAAAATCTTAGCTTTTAGTCCTCCTACATTGATAGTGTAAGCCAAGAATAATAAAATGAGAGAGTTGTTTAGTAGACTTCTCAGCTTTTAAAATGTATGTTGCTTCTATCTTGCATGGTTTTTTAAAAAAAATGTTGTTACCTGAGCAGGGCTGCTGCCAGTGGAGCCGTTTGACCAGAAGACTAGGAAAGGGATTTCTGAGTAGAAGTAATCATAGGAGACAAATAGTTTATCAGCGATACCTTGAGGAAGCAGCACTTAGATATACTATTGTTGCCTTTTTTCTGGTCAGTTGTTTGAATTGGCTGTAACTAACATATTCTCAGCTCAGAGCTAATTAGGAACAGTTTGGCATTTCTTCCAAAATTTGGGAAATACCAACTTCCTAGGACCATGATGGCGAACCTGTAGTACACGTAACGGAAGTGGCCTGCAGAGCCATCTCGCTGGGCATGCCAGCCCTCACTCATTGCTCTTCCGGGTTCCAGAGCACGCATGCGTGCCGACCAGTTGGTCTTCGCATGCCTATGCATGCCAGAAACAGAAAGACCAGGTGACCGGGGCACATGCGCATGCCAGAAACTATAAGTCCAGCTTCCTGGCACACGCATGCGCACTAGGGAACTGCTCTTCCAGTTTATGGTGCACCCCCTGTGCATGCACATACCCCCGTTTTGGCACTTGGAATGACTGCATGACGGTGCTCTGGGAAGCCAGCTGAACTAATTTACAAGCAGTGTACATAGGGTATCTGTAAGACCAAGCTATGTTGCAGAAAATGATTAAAGTAACACCCACTATTGCTTTATGTGGGCATGTGATTTGAGTGCCTGTGAAAAATCTTGTTGTGAAGGGCAGATGTTTATGTGGCTCCCTATTTGGGGTCTGGTAGGTAGCCTTGTGTACTTTGTTCATTAATCATAGGCTTAGATTTCTCTGTGGCCAGGAGGGACTTGATAGTAGGGAACATGCATACAATGTGTGTGTCTAAAGTCATGTGGGTTCTGTAACTAGAATTTGTTTACAGTATCAAATCATCCCTTTTCCTGTATGACTTAACAGCTCTATAGCAATGAATAGGAAAAACAAAGAAGGTTCTTTGGTTACTTGGTATGTTTTTATTTATATGCCACTTTTCCTTCAGGAGCTCCTCCTTCTATCCCATCCCCCTACTATAAAATGTAGGGTAGATAGAATAGAATAGAATTCTTTATTGGCCAAGTGTGACACAAGGAATTTCTCTTTGGTGCAAATGCTACCAGTGTACATAGAAAAGATACATTCATCACGAATCATAAGGTACAACACTTAATGATAGTCATAGGGTACAGATGAAATCATACTCGGAAACAGTCAATATAAAAGATACAAGCAACAAAATTACAGTCCTACAGTCATAAGTGGGAGCAGATGGGTGATAGTAATGATGAGAAGATTAATAGTGATAGTAATGCAACCTTAGTGAATGGTTTGACGGTGTTGTGGGAATTATTTGTTTAGCAGAGTGATGGCGTTTGGGGAAAAACTGTCCTTGTGTAGTTGTTCTGGTGTGCAGTGCCCTATAGCGTCATTTTAAGGGTAGAAGTTGAAACAATTTATGTCCAGGATGTGAGGGGTCTGTAAATATTTTCATGGCCCTCTTTTTGACTTGTGCAGTGTACAGGTCCTCAGTGGAAGGCAGGTTGGCAGTAATTATTTTTTCTGCAGTTCTAATTATCCTCTGAAGTCTGTGCTTGCCTTGTTTGGTTGCAAAGCCAAACTAGACAGTTATAGAGGTGCAGATGACAGACTCAGTGATTCCTTTGTAGAACTGAATCAGCAGCTCCTTGGGAACTTTGAGCTTCCTGAATTGGCATAGAAAGAACATTCTTTGTTGTGCTTTTTTGATGACGTTTTTGATATTAGGTGTCCATTTTAGGTTTTGAGATATGATAGAACCTAGAAATTGGAAGGTCTCTCCTGTTGATATTGTGTTGTCTAGTATTGTAAGAGGTGGTAGTATAGGAAGGTTTCTCCTAAAATCTACCACCAGTTCTATGGTTGTAAGGCTGAAAAAAAGTAATTGGCTCAAAGCCATGCTATGAGGCTTCTAGGGCTGATGGTCGACTTACAGCCTGGGTCTCCTCAATCCTAATCCAATGTTTTAATCACTACATCACATTGGCTGCCATATTCCACTCTTCAAAGAAAATCAATAATTTCCCATAGAGTTTTCTTTATGGCAGAACATTTAAGTGAGAGCCCTGACTTTTGGCCTGATAACAAAAGAACCAAACTGACAATTCTCCAGTATTCTTTACGATTGGTGACTTAAACTCTGCTGATGTTACTGTTATATTGAAAAAAGAATTCGCTAGGATCAAATCCCACACCATGATAACTTTTAATAGTTTTTGATATTCTGAAGAACTGATGCCATAAATGCTCTAATTAACAGAATGCTAACATAGCTTTTTGTGGGTTAAGAGTTAGTGTAAATGCTGTTGGAAAGGAGTAAATATCCCTTTCTTGCAAGGAATGAATGTAGGTCAGTCAAAGGAAGGCAAAATGATTACGTGTAAAAACATTTCTGTTCGTCTTGTATGGAATTGATTGCACTGGGAATGACTTAAGAATGTGTGGTAAAATTAGAAGAAGTAGTATCAAGAATGAAGGGGTGCTTGTAGTGGCCCACCAGTGGCCAGCAGAGCTGGCAGCAGATTCGGACAGTGAGAAGCTTGGGGAGGAACATGGGCCAGTCCTGGAGTCTGGGGAAAGCTCTGATGAGGGCTCTGTGTTGGAGGCAGAGAGGGGGCCAGGGCCGTCCAACAGTTATCAGCTGCCTTCAGAGTCAGACATCAATGAGGCAGACGAACAGCTGGGCCCGTTCCCAGTATGTGCATGCTCAGAGTTGCCAGACGAAGGAAATAGCTACAGAACAGGGGTCGACTTGGAAGTAAGGCTACCGGTGGACAATGAATGGCCTTTCCAGTGGAAATAAAAGAGGAGCAAAAGGGGAGTACAGTTTGCAGGAGACAATTAGTTCCCTAATTGGTTAGTGGCTTGCTGAGATTCTTTGCCAAGTTCTGCAGATATCTGCTGGTCAGCTCTCCAAGCCAGATAAGGTCTGTGACCATAAATCCTCCTTTGAAAGACTGCTGGCTGTGAATGAGCAGAATTCATTGTAAATTAATAAAAGAGTTTTTTCCGGGGCAAAGAGTTTGTTTCATGTCCTTGGGAAGCCTCGGTCAGAACAGTGCTATATGAACATAGAATGAATAGAGAAAAGAGTAAATAGTATGTTTAGGTGGTTTGAGGGAATGACGAAATTGCAAAACATGGGAGGGGGGAACAAGGGGAACAGTAAGTAAGTCATGGTTGGACAGAGTTGGCAAGATCTTCAAAGAGAAAGAGGTGTACAGTTTAAAGAACAAAAAGACAATATAGCAGTCTTGTTGACATTTAAAAAACAGCAAGCCATTGTCTGTCTTGTTCTGCAGGTCCCAAGCTAACTTATTGCATGAACTGAAGTGAGAATCTGAATGCTGAGTGACAGACAGATTGCATGGCTTAGAAATGTTTCTCTTCTCAAAAGTTCTGAAAAGTTGAACAGACCCGCATTTCAGAATTTTTCCCATGTTGGAAAAATTAACCTGCTTGCCTGAAAGGTTCTAAGCTACCATGAATGGTTTTCTACATGCCTATGCAAATTTCTTCCATCAACTCCCTGTACATTGAAAATGACCATTAGAATCGCTGGCGGTTTGTAACCTTCTTTTCACCTTCATCAGGAGAGACAGCGAATGTCTGACCGATTAGAAGATACCAGTCTGAGGCTGAAGGATGAAATGGA